TGAAAATCAGCATCTTCATCGGCAACCTTGACCTGACGATACATCTTCACAATGTCAGCGACTAGCGAGATAGGATAACATCGCCACCTCATCACTAAATGTCGCAGTTCAGGTTGTAGTTTTGGACCAACCATTAAATCGCCATTCAACGAAGAACCATTAGTTCCCTTACATGAAGCGTCAAACACTACACGCACTTTTGTGGTATCTTTGTCTTCGCGAATGACGGCATGGTGGGGTAAATAGACTGCATTTTCGTTGAATCTGTTATCACACATTTGCATATGACCCATTGCTAAATACTCGTGAATGACTTTTGAGTATTCTGTTTTGAGGGTCAGATTGCCTGACAACCGCTTTTCAAGCATGGTAAACCTTTTGTGTGCTATACTCTTGGAGCCCCCATATCTAGATTTTGGGTTCTCGGTCTTAAAAGGAAGTCTGACGATATATCTTCCAGCGTCGTCTCTTTTGGTTGTTGCGGTAAACAATTCCTCGCAAGCTTGTTCTTCTTGCGTGAGGATTTTCTTAGTCGAGGGGGGTTCAGATTCCAGTTCCCAAAAACGCTTTAATAACTCGTCACCATCAACATCTGTTGTGGTAATGGCGTGGAAATTAAATTTTTCAACATTTTGTTGGATATGGGTATCTGAATCTTCTACTACCCCAGACAATATCCAGCCAAACTTGGTGTTTTGAGCAACGAAACGCCCACCATTTCCTTTGATTATACCTTCCATGAGAATTCTGCTGAACACTTCAGCACCCAAAAGAAGATCTATGCCACCCGGCTGATTATAGTATGGATCAGCCAAATCAAAGGAAGAAAGTTTCAGGAGCGAAATATCGAAAGAAACATTTTTGCTTGGCAACAAAGTTGTTAACTTGTTCACTACATGAGCCTTCACAAACAAAGAATATGAAGAATCACTTCGCGATGTGATACGTAAAGTTACAGCAGACTTAGACACGAGTGATTGGGTACCACCTAATCCAGAAACCTTTACAGGTTCTTTAGTCCGTTTGAGGCCTAACCGTTGAGCCGCAGATTCTGTGATAAAGGACGCTTGAGATCCTTGGTCTAATAAGGATCTCAGGACGCTGGCCGAACTGCTTTTAGTAGGTTCCGCTACCGTTACTAAAGCAGTGGCTAGAAGAACTGTACTACGACCTGTTGATATACGACTTGTCAGCACTGTCTTCTGATCTGAAAAATCATTTTCTTCATTATCTTCTGTCTCTGACGATGCATCAGTTACAACTGCAACCACTTTGCTTGTTCCAGGAGACTGGTTCTGTTTGCCTACTTGTTTGGGATGTAGAAGGGTGTGATGTCTTTTTTTACATAAACGGCAAGTGGTTGATACATTACACTCGTACACCGTATGTTTACTACTCAGACAGTTAAAACACAATCGTTGAGATTGAGCAAACTGTCTCCTTGAATCTATGTCTTCTTTCGCAAATTTCTTACAATTGCTTATTTTGTGCTTATCCTCACAAAATGCGCAATTAAAAACTATAGTTGTGACCGTGTGTGACTTTGTGGTCTCAGCTTCACTATTATGCTTTTTATCTGCAACTTTGTATTCCAGAGACCTGAATCGTGTATCAAGAAACTTCTCAAATTGTTTATAATTCGGTAATTCCATAGACGACACCTTAGCTACTTCAGCCTCCCATTTAGCCCTTGAATCAGGGTCTAATTTCTGGCTTAACACATAAATGAGAATTGGATCCCAAGAGCTAATGCTGATCCCTAAATTTTCTAAAGACTGGAGACATTCTCCAGTTGTGTCATGTAACTGGCGAATAGCACCAGCAGATTCATTTACTAAATGTTTTTGGGTCATTAGCCTCTTTAAGATGCTGTTCACTATGGAGCGCTTGTTTTCATATCTAGCCACAAGACGATCCCAACATAACTTGTAATTATCCGCAGTAACCGAAATGGATCTCACCAGAGCCTCAGCTTCTCCAGTAAGTGAACTTTTTAAATAATGGAGTCTTTGTACGTTCTCAAGGGATTTATTATTATGGATTAAAGAAAGGAAAAGGTCTTTGTAGTTCGCCCACTCTGAGTATTTGCCCGAAAATTTAGGTAAAGAAATCTCTGGTAGCTTTACAAATACTTTTCTACCCTCTTCAAATCTACATTCCTCATTTTTTTCATTAGTTTCAGCAACCTTAGGTTTAAATTTAGCTATCCCATCTTTCAAAAGAGCCTTGTAACTTAAATATTCATCCTCCACTTCATCATAAACATCTTTTGACGCATATTCAGTTTTAGAAAAATCATCCTTTTTCATCTCAAAGACGATTTCACGATGAGTATTTATGAACAATTTCCATTGAGATTCCAAATTTTCTAATCTAGCCTCTATGTAAGATAAAGACAAACGTTCTCTTGGCGTCTTTTTATAATTAGATTTACCCTTTAAAATTTTAGATGCTAGATCTTCTTGGGTTTTTAACAATTTATCGGAATTCATTTTTACTCAACAAATAAATTAATGTAAACACAACGAGTTGCAAAACAATAAAGTCGAAAAAACAAGTTACAACTAAGTATTTTGTGACTACAAATAACATACACAAATCAGAACTGAAAACAGTACAAAGTTAAGATTAGAAAATTTTCAAAGTCCATTAGAACACTGTGACATTTGTCAAAGTTCAGTTGAAATTTCTTGATATTCTTCTAAGTTCAGTCCGCAGAAATGTAAAAAAATTGTAAGTGTTTAAACTTTTAGCACTTAGGAAAAATCGGGCATAGGTTCCCCGTCGGAACGTTTTTTAACTAACTATTCTAAGTCCCTGAAGTAGCTTGAAATTTTCTAAGTACAAATTATTTCCAATGCACTAAGTTAAATTTCCTTTAGTGATAAGGTTCAATTTTACTTACAATTTATCGTCACTCACACACGTCACTATACCACAAGTTTACGTCACTGATGATGATGACGCTCCACGGGGTGCTCCCCGTGCTGTGAAGTTGGCCCTCACGAAGTCCGCTGGATGTACGAGGAGGTGCTCCCCCTGCTCCGAAGCTGGTCCGTGCAATGGTCTCTTCAGGTGGATCACCGAGGGGTGCTCCCCTCGCTCGGATGATCCTCGGCTGTCTCCTTTCTTGGAACAGCTGATAAGCGCTAGATAGCGATCCACTATCTGTGTTAAGCGCTTGACGGAGTACAAGTGTAACAGGCAACTTCTTACCAAATCCGGTCCGAAGTACCATGTACAATTCTCCCAAAAATATTACTACCAAACCTAGTTTATGAATAAAACGACAGGTTGTGATAGTGTAGGCAAATGATGTATTGGACATGAACAGACAGTTTATAAATACATTATTGTAATACGACTCGATACCGAGTTTCACAAAACAATCAGCGCCATCTATCGGCGATCAGTGTGATGTAATACAACATAAAATAATATTAAAAATACTTCTATGCTTTAACAATAACGGAACAATAACAAAAAATAACATTACTTCTTTAAGTGCTCTTCTAATCCTCCCTTCCCTCATTTTTTTCTAACGCAAACTACGTACTGTATTAAAATAGAGAGGTTTTTTTTATTTTTTCCTCAATTTATCATAAGTTTCCTGTGTTTTAAGTTAGGTTAGATAATATATCCTATATATTGTAAAATAATTATAATTGTCTTAGACAACATGGGTGCTTGCTGTAGCTGCTGTTGTGAAGACAATAACACAAATGTGAATTTCGTGGATAATTCTGGATTTAACCCGGGGATGGCAAGGGGTCCAGGAGGCGACTACGGAGGCGAAATGACGGTCGTGGATCAGCCCAACTTTGCTGAAGGAAGATAGTAATGATGTTTGTTTATTATGTGTTAAGTGCGAGTTCTGTACTTACTCGATCGTTAATTTGTATTAACTCTAAAACAGCGCCATCTAGTTGCTGTTGCAGTGAACCAATATGTATAAAGAAACTTAAATTATCGAAGTAAGTCTTTAGCCAATCGGGACTCGTTTAAGACATTCTTATGGTATTTCTTAGTTATTTAAAATGCTTAATAGTGTTAAATAATTTATATTTTTTTCTAATTAAAATCACTATAATGTAAATATGGTATTTTCAATGATATCAGATGTATCCTTTTTAATCACAATCTTTTGAAGTTATCAATTTAATATGTGTAGTTGTTCATCCCTTAACTGGTATACCAGCACAATTATTATTTATATTGTACCGTTATTTGAAAACTCCAGCAATTTCACCTATTTTGCTTATAGGTACAATAGATTATTCTATTTTGTTTGAAATAACACTTGTAACCGTTTATTTCAATTTAGAAAAGACATACAACAAGGATTACAGAAAAATAAACACGTTTTCTTGCCTTAAATTAAATATTTAATCTTTTTTATGGCCGACTTTTTATTTAAGATATTAAGATAATCGTGCGATTTTAAGACTTAAAATCAGAATCTTTACATTTATTACGATAGAAATTTTATGTTTTGATGATAATAAAGAAAATAAAGATCATTGAATTGATGAACTCCATGGCGCAGTGGTAAGTGCTCAGTCCGCGATACACTTGTACAGCAACTTTCGCAATGACAGGTCAAAGACCGGTAATATCTCGAACTCCTTGGTACTTCGGGAGGACCACACGGTGGATTCACATTTGAATTGAATTACAGCGTTAGATTACCTTTCCGGGTGTGATAGAGCCTCTGTGAGGAACCCTGGCAATATAGAGAGGCTCGCCTGCATGAGTATTGCCAGCGGGAATCGCTCCGATAGGTACTTGACCGTTGCTGCTAGGTAACCAACGCACAGCGTGCGGCGGGGCAAGCAGAATCTGTTAAAAGTCGACATTCGATAATCAACTATAGTTAAACGAACTTTACTATGAGCAAGCAAAATATGAAAAATTATAAATGTGTGTTTTTAATAAGTATAGCTTCGCATAATCTCGTGGATGGCAACCTTATGAAAACGAAGGTAATTTGTGGACGAGTTATGGAGGTTGATACATACTTTGACAAAAAAGCAAACTGGATTTAAAACCATGATTACACCAAGGCCATTCACTGTTTAAAAATTGCTAGTAAAGTAATAATTGTTTACAAGTTTGTTTTAACCTCAAAATTATGAACAGGAACTTCTTTTCCAGAATAAGGAACATATGATGCCCTGTGTTTGATGGCCAGCTTTCCAGGAATAAACTCGCCATTATGATGTGATCTGATGATCCAGAGCGGGCTGCCGTCCCAACCCTCTTTACCTGCGACGAAAGCTCGGTGTGTGTAATTCACTGCTGTCTGGGGTGTCGCGGATGCCCAATCAATGAGTTCTGAAAAACAAACAAAAAAATTGTTGATTCCAAGAGTCTCTTGGGTCTCGCGTTGGTAGAACTTTTTATATTAGAATTTAATTACGCAAAAGCGAATGGCGTAATTTTTATTTTGCAGAATGTCGTTTGGAATTGTCTGTCACAAAATTGACCTCATTTTGTTACTTAAAGTTCTTCTTATCTCTTTGAAATGACCATGTGAGCTAACTTTGAGGTTTTAACTTAATGAAGTAAGTATTAATTTTTCCGAAGTAACATAACACCTGAGGGCCTATTCTCTTTTCCTCAAACGAATATTCATCTTATAATTTAGTTAACATTATCAGTGAATCAGTGCATCAGAGGCCAAGTCAAGTCTTATCTTGGTTACATCATAAATTATCGAAAAATACGTTTCTTTGGAATCGTATTAGCATCTCGAAATAGGTTCGGTGTCACGTTAATTTATACGAGTAGTACATAGGTTTACCTTCAACTTGAGGTACGAGATGATGTTGTTCCGGCTGGTGCGGCTGATGATACGTTGGTGGATAGTAATAATTAGTGACGTATGTAGCATTCGGTTCCGGCATGGGCGGTGCTGGTGGCGGAGGATACACTGGCATCATAACGGGGGTAGGAACGAAGGCAACGTTGCTACCAGGCGGTGGCGGTGGGTATCTATGATAAGGTGGAGGACCATGTGGTGGAACTAGAATATTAATAAAAATACATTTGTTAATACCAAAGACCATATACGGAGACAACTTATATACAAAATTAATTTAATACCTCATCTACAACGATAGATATTGAAGAGATCTATGACAGAATGGTTAGCGGGTTTGGTCAGCGATGTGGATGTTAAGCAACTTTCGCAAGGGCATGTAAGAGGAGGGGTGACTTTTTTATTCTTTCAAGCACCTCGCGTTTTGGGTTTTGAGTGCATATCCGCACTAGACGAACTTGGTGATGGTTCCCAGCCTATTCTATTCGATAGTTCGATTCCATCCATAGAAAAAGCCTGAACACATCGATAAGTTCATTACGATGATGGAAACATGTTAGCTTTGTATAAAGTTTTCGTGTGTTAGTGATTGCCTACGAAAATATATTCATTGTACATTGTGTCTCGTAATAAAGAAATCTTGGCAGAAGATTCAATATAAGTATTTATAGCAAATGTACATTAAGTAATGGTTGGACTAAATATAAAATTAGGTAATAAGACATGGAGAGTTAATAATATATTGTACTGACATTTATATCCACGCTTTTGTAAAAAAACAAAAGTAACAAGAATTATCTTGTAATGTTAGACATAACAAATTTTAACTACGGTGAAATAGAAATTGATAGATACTACAATGTATTTCGGTATTTTACATCTTCTGAATTTGGTTTTAAGTATAAAAATCTTGATCATCCAAGCTCACTAATAAATTTAGCTAGTGTTTACTCTCACCGGCGAATGTAAACAATGAAGCTTACACTAAATAAACAGTGTTAATTTATTACGAAAGCGTTCAACAAATTTAGTTAAAAGGAGTTTTATTTTGGACAGACACGTTTCCAATAAATTAGTAGAAATGTAGCAAACAATCTTGATAATTTTATGATAAAGACGTCGATAAATCAGAATATACACGTATATTATTGTAAATATGTCTGATTTGGTATCGTTTTTGTTATTTCGTTCTATATTTCACCTTCTATCAATTGTTCACGATACGATTTAGATATTGATGTTAAGAGTTTATTGATCTTAAATGATGTTTATACAATGATTCATTTCAATTTAAGGTAGATGAACTTTAAATAAAGCCGTATTCACGTCAAACGATCCATCTTGGACCTATTTGGACATTTATATTGTACATGAAGCCTTGCCGTGGTCCCTGAAAGTAATCTCAATGATTTATCAGTTGAATTCTTTCGTGACTAAAAAGATATCATACAGTTACTTGTCGATCGTTACAATAGGATCGCTACGACCAACTGCTCCGGTAGAGGGTGTTTATTTGTATCCTTTGGTATGGCTCAGATCTTTTTGTATAATTAATGTTCATCCCAATTATCAACATATTAAATTCCAAATAAAAACAAAACACAATAGCTAATGTACGTAATAATATTAAAAACCTCGTGATTTCATCATTTAAATAAAAAAAAATATTGTCATTTCATCGAACAAGACTTTTGCGATAAGAAAATTAATATATTTTCTAATTATTTATATTTCAATATTATTTTTCCTTCTACCGTTTGTTACATTAATTAGAATGTATAATATCTCTTAAAAATTTGAACTTTGAAAAGAAGGTTAGGCATAACAAAAGTTATGCAAAGAAAATATTTAGCCATTGTTTCCTTTCAACTAATATGGTGGGTATGAGTAAGGATACTTCCGTCACAGCTTTACTGTTCCGTGAGACACTGTACACAAGCTTATGACATTATAGATGCATAGATTTCTGTCATTATTTTATTGCGATTTTAAATTATCGTTTCTAAGTAAACTGTCAAAATTTTTAGTTTCATTTCTTTCTTCTTCTTCTTTTATTAATGGCTTATCGAACAATTCTGCCAATGTCAAGTGAATAAAGATATTTCTACATGTAAAATGAAAATGAAATGAATCTTTCATTTCTTTAAATCAAGAGTTAGACGGCGTTTTACTAAATGTCAGCCTGACAGAACACGACATACGAAGAGTAACGCGATATCATGTTGTTCTGGGTAAATCCTTAAAGAAAGAAATTGGTATTGTTAATTCTTCTGTGTGAAGTTGGCAGAATTGTGGTTGACACAAAGAAGCCATTAAAAGATAAGAAGAAGAGTAACTTGGTATAAGTGCTGAGTTACACTTAAAGTGTGAGCAACTATGTTATTGTTGGCATACGGTATTCTTAATTAATTAGTAGAAGTACTTACGGTTTGACATCTTACTTAGATATAACTTTTAAAGTAAACTATAAAACTGTTAATTCTGTAGACGACACTTCACTGAAACCAATATCGATCACATGTTAAATATTTGTATGGGATAGCCGATTCATATCATATCAATTTTGAAGCTTAGATTAGATAGTGTAAGTACATTTCACTGTAAATGACTTCTGAGTAATAAGAAATGACGAATCATAAAAAATAAAAACTGTGAAAGTTTATAACTTCTATTGCCATTTTGAGATTTCAATGAGATTTCAACTATGTAAGACCTTTATTTAATTTTTGTTGATAATTTGTAGGTTTCAGAATAGTGCCGCATCTTTCTGTTTAGTTATTTTGAAGAAATATTTATGGTTATATAAATAATGAGCCAAGAGAAAACAAATATTTGTGGTCACTTGGTGATTTGGGTTAAATGTCATTAATGGTTAAAAATATGATGCTTTGGTTCTACATTAGCTAGCCGTATTCATCATTAGTCTATTATTATATCCAATACAAAATTCTATTCTATTAAAACACAGCTTTTTATTACCTTTTGAAGTATATTTTATTTGATGGAACCTTAATGCTATGAGTGCACTGATTGTATTCTGCTAAGTTGCTATGTAGGAAAACTAATCGTTAAACTGTTAATTACGAGTATATTAGAAAAAATGGTAAAACTGAAATCATAAAATGATTTTGAAAAACGAATAGAATGCGGGACATGAAAAAAAATCAACGTCTTTACTGCTATAAGAACAGTGCTCTTCTCTATGGATAAAATCGAATATCTAGTCGCATAGAGAAATTGGGTCAAGACCGACCACGAATACCTCGATCTAATAGGGATGAAGCCTGGGTAAAAAAAGTAATTTTATTATTTCCGTCAGTCAGATAATAGAAAAACATTACACACATATTTTATTGTTTTAATTAACAAGAAATGACTTGGATAATAGGCATTAAAGTTGGGTCGCTATGTCACAGCTATGTAAAGAATGAACAGGGCGTGACGTCATCATCATCATCCCTTTTACGTCCCCACTGCAGGGGCTCAGACCTTCCTTATGGATGGTTAAGGAGGATGGGCCATGACCCTCCACGCTGGCCCAATGCGGATTGGAGGGTATTAACGACTGCAAATGCAGCCGGGACCAACGGCTTAACGTGCCTTCCGAAGCACGGAGTAGTCAAGATAATAATTTTTTGGTCACCCATCCCGTGACCGATCCTTGCGAAAGTTGCTTAACGACTATGATCGCGGGCCGTGGCGCTTATCCACTATGCCACCGAGTTACTCTGAAGTGACGTCATGCCGCATTTCAACTCAATGTAATGCCGTACTTTATTGAATAAGCAAAAAAATATCTTTCTGACGGACGGATAAACAAAAATTCAATAATTGTTACGACTACGAAGACAGACGCAGCTGAGACCAATGATTTAACGTGCTATTCGAACCACGGAAGAGTCCAAGACAAGATAATATTTTTTTGGTCACCCATAACCTAAAGTTGTTTAAATTTCCTACCACAGACCGAACTTGCTAACTACTGCGCCAAAGAGCTCTAAATCAATACAAAACTAGTCCGTGATCGATGCTAATAGTAGATGACAGTAATTATATATCTTTGATGAACACGGACTCTATGTTATATTTTTAGTAATTGCAGGTAGAACTTTCTCCCCGTTCCATTATTTTGAAATAAAGTTAATCCAATGGAAACATTTTCCATGTTCTATGTAAATCAAATTAATTTATAATAATGGTGGATTTAGAAATCCTCTGTCTCATAGCCAAATGTAAAATCAATGTCATTTCACGTATTGAATTCAACGGATAATAATGTTTTACCGTTACTTCAGAGTTTTTAGGTGGATTTGTAATGTATTTGGTTTGAATAAACCATCTAGTGATGGTTCAGATAAAGTTTATAGAATTCATCTTGGTCTCAAAATATGGTCTATAATAGTCATATTTTTTATTTTATTACAATACGCTGTGACTGCTGATGGTTTTAATTTCAATATTAATGAAAATTTGGACCATATATCCGACTTCAACGATGTTTTCGCAAATGTAGCTATATTAATTATAGATTTAACAAATTCCAATGGTTTGTTAATTGATCTATATACGACTGTGAACGTTGTATTTGAAACTCTTAAAATAAACGATGTGAATACGACATTTCTAGCAGCAAAACTATATTTGTGTTTTTCACTAACAGGAGTTGTGTTTGTTTCGTCAATATTTATGGAAATTATAAAAAATGATTATCCATTAACATTAATTGTGAATATACCAACGTTTTTAACTATTTTCCATTTATTTTCTCATCTTTATATACTTTTGTGTCTATTAAAAGTTGTACGTAATAATTTGTCAGACAAGTTGGAACCAGCATTTATCAAATTCAGCTCTATGGAACGAAAATTAGTTAAAGCGGATATTTTGAAGTATCTTTTAGATTTTGATAAGGGTTTTATCGAAAATAAGCATGGACAGCTTTTCGACTTTCAGATATTAAGCAAAATTTATGATGATATTAACATATGCATTACATTATTAGAAAGATATCATGGCCTGCAGGTAAGTTAATGATATTTCAGTTAATTAGTAAAAACAATGCGCAATTCCACATTCAGTTTCAGATGTGTTTTTGTTAAGGTTTTGAATATTAGCTGCTGAGAATTATAATAATGTATTCTCATTATTTTTCAGATTTTACTTGTAATATGGCAAATTTTTTCAAGTTCTGTGTTTGGAGTGACATTAGTAGCTTGTAAAATGGTAAGAAATTAACATTCTTGAAATTTTCTATTATTATATTTATAAATTAAACTTATTTTTGCCATGAATTATAAAACGCCTTAACGTTACATATTTCTTAAAGCTGCGACAAGTATTCTTTGCTCAGGATAAAAAATGCACACATTTATAAAT